AAGCAAACAGCTGGAGATCCTTCGGTGCGAGTTTCAAAGGAGAGGACACCGCCGAGCTCGAAGCCAAAACGAGGAACTACTGCAGAAGCCATGACAATTAGAATAGGGTTTGGGGAGGTATACTTTTCTATAATTATAAAACAGAACCACCCCCCCAAAAAAAAGCCCTATGGTTCATTATCAAGGCCCCTCTAGTAATTTGTTCAACCGTCAAACCCTGCACCCGAAGCCCGCCCCGAGGCGCATCGCGGAGTGAACCATCAGTTCGTCAATGGCTCGCCCATCTCTTTCGCAGAGCTCTTGGAGTCGCCGCAGCCTTGGTACTGGGCTTTGGAGGTACTCCAAACTTTAGTACTTTTTGGGGACCTGTTAGTTAAAGGGAACCAATTATGAAAAACAAGTCTAAACCTTTTCTTCCCTGGTTGAGCTTCAACGCCCAGTAACAGAAACTAGGGACAACAGTGACACAAAGAGGAACAAGGGCAGAGAGAATCTTGCACCCCACAGATCCGGTACTCGTCTTGCAGTAGTCTTGCCGATCGAATCGGAAGAACTGATCCCTAAACCTCAAACCCTAATTTCCTGTCCCGCCACCCCTTAAAGCTTCCAGGCTCCTACTGGTAAGACAGGTAGGGGTAGCAGTAGTCTTCGTCGCCGAGTAGCTGCAAAAAGCTGCTGGTAATGGCTACGGTCGGCGACGCTATTGTTGAATACTACACGTAGTGCTGGTATTTGGAATGTGTGCAGTAGAATAGGCATCCTTCCTTCCATCACCGTGATACTGCCACTTGTCGTGGCAAGTGGATGTGTGTGTATATATAGATGTGCACATACAATAGTGTGTACGCATGCATATAATGTACATACACTTCTTCATAGCTGCCTTTGTATGGTCTTACCCTCTCATAGAGTTGTCTGATGGTTGATCGGAGGCACCGTAGCAACATCAGCATCATCATAACCATCATTGACACGTCGCACTCACCAGATCTAAACAGCCATTGCCCTCATCAGCAGCAGCGGCATAGTGGCTATCCTGCAATAGTCTCTGCTGGTATGCTTTGCCCATAGGCTCCATAGTAGTTCCTGTTTGGGGCTCATATATAGAATCCTATAAGGTAATCCCAAGAAGGAACTACTATGAAGCCTATAGTGAACCCCAGAAAGTTGGAACACGTATTTTGCATGATTAGCGCTAGGATTCTCTCTACTTTACCTTACGGGAATGAGGATAACGATGTTCCAACTTTATAACTTCTACTGTATCTGTATCAACACTGAACTCTTCGACTTCGCGGGAAAATCCGGCCCAAGGATGATGCCGAGATTCCTGGAAAATCTGCAGGCCTTACAGTATCTTGTCACGCTTGCCCTTAAAGGCAGCTCAGCTGTTCTACTAGTATCGCTGCATAGTTTGCCAAGCCTATGTGGTTGTACTAAGGTACCTTAGTGGCCCCCCCCAACCATATCAGTTCTTGGGACTAAACCCTAAAATCCAGGGCTTGGAGTCTGCGGTTTTACGGATCTCGGCCATGCATGAAGGCTCTTAAGGAGTCTTCTCGGTGCTGCAGGGTTGGTTTCGATCTTGAAGTGGCTGATTTAGGGCTTCTAGGGGAACGCTTGAAGGGGCACGAGGGGACTTGCATGCTGCACCAAAGCCCCCCCCCCCCCCCCCCCCACTCCATTGAACCAAAAGCCCGTAGCCCTCTTGTTCCTTGATCACGCTTCCAAGCAGGTTTGGCCAAAAACTAACAGTCGCAGTATTCGCAGCAGGGATAGGAAGAGAGATTGTAATTCCTAGTAAGTGGACCTGCTATATACAGCCATGACCATTTTAGCAAGATTCTTGGTCGCAGCATTGTCCCTTACTGTATGGTTATGATCTCGGGCTTCAGACCCGAAGCCATAAACCCCCAAACCGCGAACCTGCAGGACCTCGGCTTCAAGAGCTGCACCAGGGAACCCGGCACCTGGAAGGCCGAACTACGACTTCAGAGTTTACGGTTTAGAGTTTAGGGTTTAGGGTTTAGGGTTTAGGGCTTAGGGTTTAGGGTTTAGGGCTTAGGGTTTAGGGTTTAGGGTTTAGGGCTTAGGGTTTAGGGTTTAGGGCTTAGGGTTTAGGGCTTAGGGTTTAGGGTTTAGGCTTCAGAGTTTACGGTTCGGCGATTTTGGGATTTGGCTTTCAGAGCTTAGGGGAGACGGGGTCAGGTTGAGGCGCTACGGGGAGGTAACGTTTCAGGGCTTTTGTGTGTGTTGGGTTCCAGGGTTTAGATTTCAGGATTTCAGGGTTTAAGTGCCCAAATAGTAGCTGTTTACGCATTTCTTGCGAGTCAGGGTAGTGGGATCCTCATGTAAAGTATAACCCTAAACCCTAAACCCTAAACCGGACGCCGCCCAGGTACAGGAAGCTATGGGGAACAGTCGAAGGATGGTCCGATCAACCAAGGTCTCCAAAACATCCTACAGAAAACGAATTCAAGAATATCCCTGAAGCAGACGAGGCACCCACCTCAGTCGTCCTCACCCTGAAAACCGCTCCCCTTCAGAAGGGAAAGGACAGCGGAAACGGCGTCAACCCGCTGCAAACGCCGCACAGGCCGCGACAAACCCCTCATGCCAAACCCTATACCCTAAAAGCCCTACTTCCCCCAAACTAAGACGGGGCCTTGGTGAGGTCGGGAATAGTGCAGGGAAGGAGGAGCCACACTGCTCTTGCTTCGGCGTCCAGGGCTGAATTTCTCATGATGGCTTTGATACAGGAGCTCGGGTTGCCATGACTTACAACAAGAAGCCCTGCAAGAAACTTTGTTGGTCAATTCCACCTGTGATCCTCGCGGAAGCGTAGCATAAACCACCCCACAAAAGCCAGTTTAGCTATTAAGTGCAGGCTACACTTGTCGATGTTTATTTATCCTACCCTCTAGACCCTACCCGGAAATCCTACAACCCCCCTATAAGAAACCTTATGAAACACACCGCCCTATATTCATGTTTAATCCCATAGCATCCTAAAAATCAGCACAACCCGGCCCCCCATTCTACGTCCGGGACCCAGAGACTCCAATGCCCCTGAATTGTTGGAATCTGTCTTAAGTCATGTGGGTGGTTGTCAAAATGAGGGTCCCTATTTGAGTCCGTATTATAGTACGGCACCCATTATTTAGGGTACCCAAAAAGGGGCCCTAATTTTGACAACCACCCATATATATATATATATATATATATATATAGATATATCAGGGATCCTGCTATAATCGAAGGTGTCGACTCCTGAATATAAAGGGATATTGGCATTGGAGTCCCCTGAAGCCTTAGGCCTATTATAGATCTCTTATAGAGCCTTACAGGAACCCCTATAGATCGCTTTGAAGGAACCCTAAATGGGAGTTTCCGACAATTAGGGGTGCCGTATTTTGGGGTCCTTATAATAAGGGTCCTACTATTTAGGGTACCATATTAGGCTCCCCTGTTTTCGGAAACTCCCAAATATTCCCTACTTTGAGGGATCTTGGAGTCTCTTGGGAGGTCATGGCTCCTAAACCCTAAACCTATAGAGCCAACCTTAACTGCTAGGTGGAAAAAGGTGCTTTAAAAAAAACCTATAGATCCCTTTACAGGACCCAAGGTATCCCCTACTTTAAGGGCTGGCTCCTAAACCCTGAACCCTAAACCTATAGATCCCTTTAAAGGGCTCTTGGCGTCTCTTGGGAGGTCATGGCCTCATGGCGGGACCCCGACGGGTGAGCCGAGCTCTGCAACGAAGCAAAGACTTCCTGGCCTTCCCTTCCCGTCTCTCTAAGAACCCTAAGCCCTAAACCCCACAAGCCTCTCCAAGTACCCTAAGCCCTAAAGCCCTAAAAGCCTCAAGCCTCTCCAAGAACCCTAAGTTATAAAGCCTAAGGGTGTTGCTCTCCAGCACGAGCTCCGGGGCTTTACTTCACGTCGACTGCGCAAGCCTCTCTGACACGGCAGAAGCACTGCTTTAAGCTGTTCGGGTTCCAAAGTACACGCCAAAGACAGATGAGTTCATGCCTGATCCATTTCGCACGAACCTGGGTTCCTGGCTGCCCGAGCGCGCTTGAAAGGCTGCGGCTGGCAGTCCCTAAGCACGCTAGACAGTACCATCCCGTGGAAGCCCAATTGCGTGTATCGCGGATTAAAATACGGGGAATGTAATGTAGGAACCTGATTAAGAAACCCTGGGCGTAAAAACCCAAAATCGTAGGATTCATACGTGGAACCCTAATAAAGGCCCAAGGTTTCTTAATCAGGTTCCTACATTACTCTGGAATTGAAGGGACAGGAACCTGTCACAGAGGTCATTGGGCTTCTCTGGGGTCTTAGTTTTGTATCCAGATTATTCAGACCGCGCATGCTTGGCTGTGGGCTAAAGAAGTCGCAAGGGCAGCCCCCCGATCCGGTAGCCTCTCATCCTCATGATCGTGATATATGATGATGATCATGATATATGTTGGCGATCATGATAGATGATGATGTTCATGATGTGTGATAATGGTGATGAACATGATATATGATGATGATATATGATGATGTTCATGATATATGATGATGATGATGATGATGATGATGCTCATCTTGGTTGTCATCGTACTCCCTTGCCGTCGTGGTGTTTTGTGTCACTGTGTGCCTGTGCTTACACACAAAGGCGGACACTGCTTTTCAGCTTCGGGCATCGAATCTTGAATGATGAAGTTGTAAGCTACTATGGTGGTGGTGGTCCCTGCTTGTCCGGGTCGTTGGACTCGCCTCACAGCATTTGAAGTCGCCAGACACAAGGATTCACGTTTGTTCACTCTCGGCAACATCCTGCACTGGTTGTATATGGCGTTCACAACCTATTTCAAGCAGCATCCAGATGAATACATGGACAGGAGCGACCGAACTGTGTCCGACATGATCGAATGTCCTAGACTCTCCGATGCTATGTGGCGTTACGGGTTCATGGGGTGCGATAGCATCCGGGCCTCTTGTTGCGAATCATGTGCATCCCAGACACGAAGTGTGGGAGGGCGGCTTCGACCCTCTTGGTGGCTGGCGTTTTCACCTTGGTGGGTTTGCAGTTTGGAACGATCCATGCTGGGACAAAGACTGGACTGTACTGGGCCGAACAACTCGTTTCTGAGCATGAGACCGGTTTTGTTGGGAGTCGAGTGGCCGTGCTGATCATCGGCAGTGCTCGGACACTGGTGTGGCCAGCGGTTTGCCAAAACATGAAATCCAACCTCGTAGATGGCCTGCGCCAACGCAGGAAAGGATCTGTTCAATGGCAAGTGGATGTTTTCTTTTTCATTGCTCTGACTGATGCAGGTCCAAAAGGCCAGAACGTGAGCGGTCAGAGGCATGGCATTGACGAGCTGTCGCAGTGCAAGGACATACTCAAGCCTGTGCACGTAGAGCTGATGCCTGAAACCTATCCGATACCGAATCATGAAAGCTGCTTGAGCGAACAGGACATGCCAAACTACTGGAATCAGACTGCTTTTTGGCACGAGGAAGGTGCGTCAGAGAGAAAGTACTCTCAGTGCAGGCGTGTGGTCGAGGCCTTCACTTACGTGGAAAAGGTCTATGAGCCAAACACTGGTGTACGCTACGATGCCTGGGTCCGTGCGCGAACGGATTCCGTGTATCTTGTGCCTGTGCCCCCGATGGCAGACTTTGATTTGCGCAAGGTGACCAGTACCAGCCTGGCAAGTTCCGAGCACTGGCATCTGGTGTCCCGAGATTGCAAGACTGCCCTGCCGTTCAACTGCATCAAGTGCGTCCACAGCCAGTTCGATGATTGCCCAAGTAGGCCGGAGATTTACAGAAGCTACGCCGTGCAAGTTGTGGTAGCCAGGGAGTATGATGCTGCTTATCTCCGGAAAACGCAAGGTTTTACTGGATTGCCAGCTCGGCCCGAGCCACATGAGAAGCAAGGCTATTTGTTCCTGGAGTGTCGCAGGTTCAATCAGGCGTGTGCCAGACAGGTTCACAAGACGACGGTTGGCAAGCAACTGGCGGAGGGAGCCTGTGACTCCAGCCTTTGTCGGAAGATGCAGCTGGAGTTTCTCGAAGCTCCGTTGCCTCGCTTGTAATTGCCACCTTCCCGGGTCCGGGCTCGCGCGATGCTTCTGAGGTGTTGGTCAGTGTTCATCCTCCCAGGTTACTACAGGCTCAGCCTACTTAAGGGATCATGGGACTTAGCAAGCAGGGTTCTAATTAAAGTAACTACAGCTACAATTACGTATAACCCCAATTAAGGTACTTATAACCCTACTTACTAAGTCCCATGATCCTCCAAGTACAAATTGTGTGGAAACTCTCCGACGTGTACCTTATTTGGGGGTCCTTACAATAAGGATCCTACTATTTGGGGTACTAGCCCATTTTCGGAATCTCCCGAATATACCTCAAATCATACTATGGATCCTGCTACTTTTACATTGCGGTATAAAATTATATTCCTTTGAGGAGTCTTTCAGTTTGTTGGGATTCTTTAGGGTCCTTGAAGCAGTTGAATAATTTCGGGGCCTGAATAGTTACCTACGCGATCTTGGGGGTTCCTTATAGTATAATCATGCCCCAAAACCCGATTCTGACGTTTAATGCCCTCTATTACACAAGGGCAGGGAAGACCAGTCACAAATCCTCAGCATTCAACCCTGAACTTGCACTTTGGTGCCGGAGTCTTGCAGATGGGTAGTTGTCAAAAATCATGGGCCCTTTTTGGGTACCCTAAATATTAGCTGCCGTATTTTTATAAGGATTCAAAGAGGGACCAGAATTTTGACAACTACCCAGATAGATGCACCAAGTTCTGCCAGGCCAAGTCGGGTGAATCCTTCTGGTTTGGGCTGCCATCATCTGCTCGCATCTATCACTTCCACCTGCAACGCTCGTTTCGTTCAAGGGCTTGTCTGTGACCAAACTACCAGTGCGAGTTTCTACGTCGTTGAATCCTCCCTCTTTCTCTCTCTCTCTCTCTCTCTCTCTCTCTCTCTCTCTCTCTCTCTCTCACTCACTCTCTCTCTCTCTCTGTGTCTGTGTTTCTGCGCATCTTCACCCAGCACTTTGAAAGTATCATGAGGCTCTAGTCTAGCATTAACATTAGGAGCGTAGAGTCTGGTGCACTCTTCAGCTTCCGGCAGTCACGGGCGGGGGGGGGGTTGGAGTGTTATCGCTGTAGTGTCTCTGGATGTGTCCCTTCCGTGGTCATTTAGTCGTTTGGTGTTCTTCCTTGCGGTCCTTCGTGTACAGATGCAGCCGAGCATTACCCGTGTCATTTGCAATTTGCAACATCACCATCGCCATCATCACCCGCACCATCACCACCACCAACGACATCATCAACAACAGCAGCAGCAACAAAAGCAGCAACAGCCACCACCACAGTCTCGGGCACAGCCGCAGCGACAGCAACAGCATCATCAGCAACAACAGCCAAGCCGCGATTCGACTCCTTCATGGCTGTTGCATGTCACGCGATCGTGCCGTTCTGCCCTGAGAACAGTAGTGAGAACAGTAGTGTGGACATCCTACGCATGATTTCCCCCAATAATTGAACCAACTTAAACTCCCCCGAAACAACAAGGGCTGTGCGGCGATTCAAGAACAATCACGGACCAGCCAAGGTAATGCGAGCATTTCCGCGCAAACAAAGGTACCAGCACACCCAGACGCAGACATACGAACACACTTAACCACAATACAAGACAGGACCGCCATGCCTTGTTTTCCTAGAGCGCGTTGCGTTACTGATTCACGGAGTGCGGTAGCCTCTGCAACTCTTTTTTGGTATAATGTGCATTTCTGGAAAGTTTGGGAGGGTGGCTTGGATCCTCCTTGTGGCTGGCGTTTTCACCATGGTGGGTTTTCAGTTTGGAGCTATCCATGCTCGCACGAAGACTGGCATATGGACGCTCTGGGCCGAACAAAACGATTCTGAAGATGAGAAGGGTTTGGTCGGGAGCCGGGTAGCCGTGCTGATCATCGGCAGTGCTCGGACGCTGGTGTGGCCAGCTGTTTGCCAAAACATCAAAGCCAACCTCGTAGATGGCCTGCGCCAACGCAGGAACGGATCTGTGCAATGGCACGTGGACGTCTTCCTTTTCATTGCTCTGACTGACGCAGGTCCCAAGGGACGCAACCTGAGCGGTCACAGACATGGTATCGATGAGCTGTCGCAGTGTAAGGACATACTCAAGCCTGTTCACGTAGAGCCGATGCCTGAGACCTATCCGATGCCAAAGCATGAAAGCTGCTTGAGCGAGCAAGACATGCCTAACTACTGGAACCAGACAACATTTTGGCATGTGGCAGGTGCCTCCGAGAGAAAATATTCTCAGTGCAGGCGTGTGGTCGAGGCCTTCACTTATGTACAACGGGTCTATGAGCCAAAAGCTGGCATACGCTACGATGCCTGGGTCCGTGCGCGAACGGATTCCGTGTATCTTGCGCCTGTGCCTCCGATGGCAGACTTTGATTTGCGTAAGCTGACCAGTACCAGCTTGGCAATGGTCGACCACTGGCATCTGGTGTCCCGAGATTGCAAGACTGTCATTCCTTTCAACTGCATCAAGTGCGTCCACAACCAGTTCGATGATTGTCCGAGTAGACCAGAGATTGTCAGAAGCTTCTCCGTGCAAGCTGTGGTGGCCAGGGAAAAAGATGCTGCTTGGCTCCGGAAAACGCAGGGTATTACCCAACTAGCAGCTCGGCCAAAGCCGCATGAGAAGCAAGGCTACTTGTTCTTAGAGTGCGACAGGTGGAGTCAAGAATGTGCCAGACTGGTTAACAAGACAAAGGACGGCCAGCACTCGGTGAATGGATCGTGGCACTCCTGCGACCCAAGCCCTTGCCGAAAGATGCAGCTGGAATTTCTCAACGCGGAGTTGCCTGCAGAGCCGGCACAGTTTGCCGAGCAACGCGGTGCTGAACATGAGAAGGGTTTGGTCGGGAGTCGGGTGGCCGTGTTGATCATCGGCAGTGCTCGGACGCTAGTGTGGCCAGCTGTTTGCCAAAACATGAAAGCCAACCTCGTCGATGGCCTGCGCCAACGCAGGAAAGGATCTGTTCAATGGCACGTGGATGTTTTCTTTTTCATTGCTCTGACTGATGCAGGTCCCAAGGGACGCAACCGGAGTGGTCAGAGGCATGGTGTCGACGAGTTGAGGCGGTGCAAAGAGATACTCAAGCCTGTTCACGTAGAGCTGATGCCTGAGACCTATCCGATGCCAAAGCATGAAAGCTGCCTAAGCGCGCGAGACATGCCTAACTATTGGAACCAGACTACGTTTTGGAACGTGGCAGGTGCCTCAGAGAGAAAGTATTCTCAGTGCAGGCGTGTGGTCGAAGCCTTCACTTATGTGGAAAAGGTCTATGAGCCAAAAACAGGTGTACGCTACGATGCCTGGGTCCGTGCGCGAACGGATTCCGTGTATCTTGCGCCGGTGCCTCCCATGGCAGACTTTGATTTGCGTAAGCTGACCAGTACCAGCTTGGCAATGGTCGACCACTGGCATCTGGCGTCCCGAGATTGCAAGACTGCCCTTCCCTTCAACTGCATCAAGTGTAGCCACAGCCAGTTTGACGAATGCCCGAATCGACCGGGGCTTGTCAGAAGCTTCGCCGTGCAAGCTGTGGTGGCCAGAGAGTATGATGCTGCATTTCTTCGGAAAGCACACGGTTTTACTCAATTGCCAGCTCGGCCGAAGCCGCATGAGAAGCAAGGCTACTTGTTCCTGGAGTGTCAAAGATTTAACGAGGAATGTGCTAGACTGGTTAACAAGACGAAGGATGGCAAACACACTGTAAACGGATCCTGGCACTTTTGCGACCCGAGCCCTTGCAGGAAGATGCAACTGGAGTTTCTCAAAGCACCGTTGCCTCAGTTGTGATCGGCACCGCCTTGAGTCCGGGTCGCGCCATTCTTCGGAGTGCCTGGTCCAGAAGCAGCTCAGCAGGCAAGGTGGGTCAAAACTCTGCGATGCCAACCTCCCGTGACTGTTCAGGGTTCAGAGTTTATTTAGCTGTAGCCATTTTGAGTTTGGAGGAGAGGGATTGCTTATTTGAACTTCTTCATCATCGCTTCATCCTTATTTCTTCTCATCTCTGAAGCTGAAGGTCTTGCCTCTGGAAGGCATGAAGAAGTTTTTCTAATCGTTCCTTGTCCTTGTGGTTGAACCGTGAGTTGTTGCGTACATCTGAGTTTCTTTATAATCCATGGGGTTTGATGTTAGGGCCTGTACTATCAATAAGGAGCCCCCGAAACCTTGTTCTAATTATTAATGTGGCGGCCTAAATAGTGGACCCCCCCCGACCAAAAAGTTTTGGTTTGATTAATCTGGAACCAGTGACCCCGGACAGGGGTCAGGGGTCTGAGTGGCAGGGAATAGGGAAGTGCCGGGGTTTGGGGGCTGGCTTGGGTGCAGGGTCTGCGGTTCTGCGCGAATGCGCGGTCGGGGGGTCTGGGGATCACCAAATGCTGGAAACCCACTCCAAGATAACTACCAAGACCAAAAAACCCTTGATTTTGAACACTTTTGCCTCCAACCTACACTCCACTCCCACCAACAATCGACCACGTCTGAGGCTTGGTGCGGTACTATAATAGTACAATAGTAGTACAGTAGTAGTACAGTAGAAATACAGTAGTAGTACAGTAGTAGTAAAGTAGTAGTACAGTAGTAGTACAATAGTAGTACAGTAGCAGTACAGTAACAATAATAGTACAGTAGTACAGTAGTAGTACAGCAGTAGTACAGTAGTAGTACGATAATAGTACAGTAGTACAATAGTAGTACAGTAGTAGTACAATCATAGTACAGTAGTACTGTAGTACAGAAGCAGTACAGTCGTAGTAAACGTAGTACAATATTAGTACAGTAGTACAGTAGTAGTACAGTAGTAGTAGAGTAGTAGTACAATAGTAGTACAGTACTAGAACTGTAGCAGTACAGTAGTAGTACCGCAGTAGTACAGTCGTAGTACAGTAGTAGTACAGTAGTAGTACAATAGTACAATAGTACAATAGTTGTACAGTAGTAGTACAGCAGTAGTACAGTAATAGTACAGAAATAGTACCAATAAGCAAAGCATAAGCCAGTGAGCACATTCCCCCAACAAACAAAGCATAAAGCCAGCGCCTGAAACCCTAAACCCTAAACCTTAACTTAAACCCTGAACCCTAAACCCTAACAAACCCTAAACCCTCACAAATCCTAAGCCCTAACAAACCCTAAACCTTAAGCCCTTCCCAAAGGGGGGTCCCTCCAGATTCAATCCAAAATTGAATTTTTATACAAGCTTTAATACTGGAGAGGCCTGTTTTTGAGCAAGGGTCCAATTCCCGATTCGGCGGTTCACCCTAGCAGCCCCCCCAATAAGCAAAGCATACAGGAGCAGTACACAGTACAATAGTAGTACAGTAGTAGTACATGTGTAGTACAGTACCAATTCTGCAAAAAAAATCATTCCTGACGCCCCAGTAAGCGAAACAATTCTGCAAGAGATTTTTCGGGCTTCAGGGCCAGGGTTTTAGGGTTTGGGTGGGGGGGGTTGAGGTCGTGGCTGCTCTAAGATCGACCATCAGCAAACAGCACAGCCACACGCCAAAAAAACCCACCAGCAAAAAAAAAAAAACGCAGTAACTAAACCCCCCAAATTTTTGGTGCTGGCTTGAAGTAGCCCGAAAATCGCATTAATTTGGCCCATATTCCTAAACAAGCCGCCGCATTAAGGCACTACATTCGGGTTTAGCATGTGAGCCCAGCGGCTGGACTTGGTTTTAATGTAGGGGCCTTAATAATTAGAATTGGGTTTTGGGTTTCTGTATAGTATAGCTATAACATGGAACCCTACTGAATAGTATTGGTAACTATTTCGGCTACTATGTTACACATCGGGACATAACATCCGCAACAAGGAAATTGCAACGCATTGCTGTTCATGGCTATGGGTAAGGATTTGGGGTGTGGCCCGTTCTTGTTGAACGAAAGGGGGCCTGAATAGTTACCTGGACCTTGAGTTTCCTATTAAGTCATCTGTTACAGTTACTTAGAATATACCCCAAGACGCTATTCCAATCACTATAAGACTCCTATATTAAGTCTCTGGAGTCTCCACTGCTTCGAAGTTCGCAATATCTTGCGCAACGCAGGTCTCAAGCAGAATGTAGGTTTATGTCGGGACAAGAGCAAGCAACATTCGTCCGATGCGAAGGAATCACCTACATGCTGTGATTTCCGCAGGTGTGTGGAGCTACGAATTGAGAGTGAGGTAGCATCGTTTGTCGAATGATGTGCATGTCTGGCAAGTACGCGAGGGCGGCATGGACCGTGCTTGTTGCTGTCGTTTTTACCATGGTGGGCTTTCAATTTGGAACCATGCACACGCGTGCGAAGACTGGACTATGGAGGTTCTGGGCCGAACACGATTCTGAACATGAGAAGGGTTTGCTCGGGAGTCGGGTGGCCGTGCTGATCATCGGCAGTGCTCGGACACTGGTGTGGCCAGCTGTTTGCCAAAACATCAAAGCCAACCTCGTAGATGGCCTGCACCAACGCAGGAACGGATCTGTTCAATGGCACGTTGACGTCTTCCTTTTCATCGCTTTGACTGATGCAGGTCCCAAGGGACGTAACGTGAGCGGTCAGAGGCATGGTGTCGACGAGTTGCGGCGGTGCAAAGAGATACTCAAACCTGTTCACGTAGAGTTGATGCCTGAAACCTATCCGATGCCACAGCATGAAACCTGCTTGAGCGAAAAAGACATGCCTCAGTATTCGTACCAAACTTCATACTGGCACGTGGCAAATGCCTCAGAGAGAAAGTACTCTCAGTGCAGGCGTGTGGTCGAGGCCTTCACTTATGTGGAAAAGGTCTATGAGCCAAAAACTGGTGTGCGCTATGATGCTTGGGTCCGTGCGCGAACGGATTCCGTGTATCTTGCGCCTGTGCCCCCAATGGCAGACTTTGATTTGCGTGCTCTGAGCAGCACAAGCTTGGCGATGGTGGACCACTGGCATCTGGTGTCCCGAGATTGCAAGACTGCGATTCCCGTCAACTGCATCAAGTGCGTCCACAACCAGTACGATGAGTGCCCGAGCAGGCCAAAGGTTGTGAGAAGATTCGATGTGCAACCTGTGGTGGCCCGAGAAAGAGATGCCACCTGGCTCCGAAAGGCCCAGGGTATTACTCAATTGCCAGCGCGGCCGAAGCCGCATGAGAAGCAAGGCTACTTGTTCCTGGAGTGCGACAGGTGGAGTGAAGAATGTGCCAGGCTGGTTAACAAAACGAAGGTTGCCGACTACACTGTGAACGGATCATGGCACTCCTGCGACCCAAGCCCTTGCAGGAAGATGCAGCTGGAATTTCTCAAAGCGGAGTTGCCTGGTGAACGCGAAAGTCGGGTGGCCGTGCTGATCATCGGCAGTGCTCGGACGCTAGTGTGGCCAGCTGTTTGCCAAAACATCAAAACCAACCTCGTCGATGGCCTGCGCCAACGCAGGAAAGGATCTGTGCAATGGCACGTGGATGTTTTCTTTTTCATTGCTTTGACTGATGCAGGTCCCAAGGGACAGAAGGTCAGCGGTCGGAGGCATGGTGTTGACGAGTTGAGGCGGTGCAAAGAGATACTCAAGCCTGTTCACGTAGAGCTGATGCCTGAAACCTATCCGATGCCAAAGCATGAAACCTGCTTGAGCGAGCAAGACATGCCTGCCTACTGGAACGACACTTCATACTGGAAAGTAGCAGATGCCTCAGAGAGAAGGTACTCTCAGTGCAGGCGTGTGGTCGAGGCCTTCAGTTATGTGCAGAAGGTCTATGAGCCAAAAACTGGTGTGCGCTATGATGCTTGGGTCCGTGCGCGAACGGATTCCGTGTATCTTGCGCCTGTGCCCCCAATGGCAGACTTTGATTTGCGTGCTCTGAGCAGCACAAGCTTGGCGATGGTGGACCACTGGCATCTGGTGTCCCGAGATTGCAAGACTGCGATTCCGTTCAGCTGCATCAGGTGTAAGCACAGCCAGTTCGATGAGTGCCCGAGTAGGCCAAAGGTTGTGAGAAGATTCGATGTGCAACCTGTGGTGGCCCGAGAAAGAGATGCCACCTGGCTCCGAAAGGCCCAGGGTATTACTCAATTGCCAGCGCGGCCGAAGCCGCATGAGAAGCAAGGCTACTTGTTCCTGGAGTGTCACAGGTTTAATCAGGAGTGCGCCAGGTCTGTGAACTTGACGAAGGCTGGCAAGCAGCTGGCAGATGGAGCATGGCACTCCTGCGACCCAAGCCCTTGCCGGAAGATGCAGCTGGAGTTTCTCAAAGCGGAATTGCCTCGGTTGTAGTTGGTTTCGAAATCGGTCCAGGCTCGAGCGGCGCTTCAAAGTTTTTGGTCGGCTGCCTTCATCCTCACAGATGCCAAATTGCAGCTCGTCGGTATGTGGGTGTCAGAATGAGTCTTATCCCCCCGAAGTAATGTAAGCATAACCCCCCCAAAGCTCGAAACCTTGTTCTAATATCCCCGAAGCCACCATAACAATTCAATTGTTAAGGCCCCATTAACAGAATGTTTCTACACACCAAGAGCTTCCATAAGCTCCGCCATCTACATGTGTTGTGGGTTGCGAGGGTTTAGGAAGTTTGCCGTTTGGGGTCAGGGCTTTCGTGGTTTGGGGTTGTGGGGTGTCGGGCAATAACCCTAAACCCTAAACCCTAAGCCCTAATGCTCATAGACTTCTAGGCCACGGGGTTTCCGAAAAAACCTGGGCCCGAAGAGGCCCTAAAAGTCCTATACGCTCGCAGTCTTCTTGTGTCCTGGTTTCGAAAATAGGGGACCCTAATATAACACCCTAAATAGTGGGATCCTTACTATAAGGACCCTAAAAAAAGGTACCCCTAATTTTCAACAAGCTCCCATCTGCATCGATACGGTTCATGACAGGCTCCGGCTTTCATGGCCTCAAGCATGGCGTCGTCGGAGGGAAAGATAATGTTTGTATCAGGTATCATCAGGCCAGCCTGCAGACCCTCAATCAAGATTGCCGCACTTTCATGTATCTTTACACGGGCATGATCTGAGGATGCGATGGCGAAGCAGCACCGAGCCGAGTCAAAGAAAACAAGGGAGCAGGCACATGCGAGTCTGACGGGGTTCGAGCAAATGGGGTCTGAGTACCCATAGGCTCCAAAGTAGTTCCTTTTTGGGATTACCTTCTGGGATTCTAAGCATGAACCACAAAAAGGAATGGATGAGCCCTACCCACCTATGAAAGCCCTTTCTGGTTCTCACGCATGCTCGCCATGCTGTGCCATTTTGCTCTCTTGCACCTCTGCGGAGGTTAGGACGGAAATTCAAAAGCTCGAAAACCCCTGAAACCCTACCTAAACTCTACAAGCCTGTGGCACATAGCCCCAAGACGCCCAAACCCCTGATGTATTGTTGGAGGGCCCCCTTCCCATCTACTTAAAGGATCATGGGACTTAGTAAGTAGGGTTACAAGTAAAGTAACTACAGTTATAAAATTACTTATAGCCCAATTGAGGTACTTATAACCCTACTTACTAAGTCCCATGATCCTCCAAGTAGGGTTTGGTGTTGCGTTGGTCCTAGAGCGAGGGTCATCGGGACTATGTGGCGTGAGGACGTAAGGTGCTTCGACTGGCATCTTCCTACTAGGTTTAGGGTTTAGGGTTTGGATGTACGGAATTCTTGCATTTTCCGTCGAGGGGTTGGGGATCTGTTGCAGGCTGTGTTCCGAGCTTGTCAGGGCGCGCGGTTGACGCGTGCAGCAAGTGCTACCAATGGCCTGTGGACGTGGAATTTTATCGCCTGCCCACCTGAGAGCCCAAGGCCATCCCTGACCCTTCCGACTCCATCCCAGGCTTCGTTCGTCTTAGGGCCTAGGTCTTTGGTGTACGGCTTTGCTGAGTTTCCAGTTAGAAAAACCATCCCAGGCCTTGGGTTCCAATGTCCCTGTGCCGCCGTGAGGTTCTCAAATGTGTAGGTGTAGGTGTGTTGTGCGACGGGCCTGGTGCACAAGGACGCTGTTGCCGAAGGGTCACACGATCTATGTATGTGTGCATCTACGGTTTATCCTTCTATCTATCTACTTTTGCATCGATTTGCCGATTTGTCCGTCTGTCCGTGTCTGTGTTTATCCGTTTGTTTGTCTATCTGTTCTTCTATCTAACCTTTAAGTTCCTTGCAGCAGGACCCAGCGCCACCAAGGACGCTGATGTCAGGCGCGCTCGACGGCAGGGATAGAGGGAATGAAGGTCTGCATCGCTGGTTAGGTCGGCTGATCCCTGTATGAATGTTTATGCGAGGGTTTGTGCAGTTTGCATTTTGCAGTGCGACTTAATCAGCAATACCGCTAGCCCCACGCCCTGAACTGTGGTATCACAACAAATTTTGTCTTCTCCTGTTGAGATATCTTGGAGCGGGGAGTGCTTCAAAATAAGCAATTAAATGAGCAACTTCATTACACATACATGATCACATGCTCGTATGCGTATTTGTATTTCTGTGTAAACATATACTTATAGTACGCCCGTGCATGTTCGTGTAGGTACATTGCATGTGGATGGATGGCTGCATGGGTGGATACGGATGGCTGGCTGGCTGGATAGATGGATGGACGATGGTTGGATGGAAATAATATGTGATGTATGTTTGTATGTATTTATGTATGTATGCATGTGTACCCATTAAGACGTGCAGACCGACAGACAGCCACACAGATAGGTGGGTTGGTAGGTACATAGATGGGCAGATGCAGCAGTAAATAGTGTGCTCCTCTATACATGTACATGCATGCATGCTTAGGGATGGATGGACGGATGGATTGATGCATGGACGGACGGACGGATGGATTGATGGATGGATGTTTGCATGCTTGTATGTACACATACACACCCACACCACACCCACACCCACACACACACGCGCACACACACACACACACACACACACACACACACACACCACACACACATCACACATTTTCTATGATATAAACTACTATGTGCGTAGGCGCTGTCTTTATCCAGGCAAAAAGCCATCAAACCGTCGTCGCGATCGCAGTCGCAGCCGCAGCGGCAGCGAGGAGAAGGCGTGCACCTGGTAGGCCCCCAACTCCTGGCACATGGTGCATCGCTTACATGATTCCTATTGTCGTTCGTTTGCAAACACGCCTTGAACGTGGAAACGTAGTCTGTTTTTGATGAACACGTGTGCTGCTAAAGCAGCGGTTGTTCACCGCACAGGAGGAGAGCAAATTTGTTGGTTGATAATAGCCTTCAAGTAATTATATTCAACAAACAAGACATCCTAACCAACGGCAAACAGCAGCGCGCAACAACAAGGACAACAACAACAACAACAACAACAACAACAACAACAACAACATCAACAACAACAGCAACAACAACAACAACACCAATAACAGCAGTAACAACACTAGCAGCAACTACAATTACAGCAACAGCAACTGCAACAGCAACAACAACAACCACACCCACAACACTGAATGTTCCAGGATACAGCCCGAAGCCCCAAGCCCTAAACCACCAGTGCCATGGCTTTCAGGTTGATTTGTATTTTCCGTTTGGAGGCCATCCTTTTGGGGGAGGAAGAGTGCGTTGTCGCGGAGGCAGTTGCGACCCTAAGAGTTAGGGTTTGGGGTTGGGTTTAGGGTTTAGGGTCTAGTGTACGTGGAACACAAGGCCAACCATACCATGGGACGCTCAATGAAGATCGGCAAACACTTCATGTGTCCCCACCAGAGCATAACGAGCTGCAGTGTCATGCTGTGAGGATGCAATGACGAAGAAGCACCAAACAGAGCCAAAGAACAAACAGCAAAGGCCACAAGCCACTATAGGGGCCTTAGTAAAGCCTGATCCTGGTACATCATGCAACTCCCTTAACCCTGAACCCCTAAACCCCTAAACTCTAGAACCCTTAACCCCTAAACTGTAAACCCTAAATCCCTAATCCAAGACCCCTAAACCAAGACCCCTAAACTCCTAAACCCTAAACCCTAGAGCCCCTAAACCCCCTATAGCCCCTAAAGTTTTAGGCCCCTGGAGTCCGAGCCAGGCAGCAGGTGCGACGGCGGGTGGCCGCTCAGAGATGCTCGCGAGCCGAGTTCTCTCTGGCTTTTAAACTAGGTGGCAATTTGGGAAACTTTTTAATTTCCCTTATGGTTCCTATAGAGGTACCTATTCATAAATACTTTTCAGAGCCCCAAAACTACATCCCAATAAAACCGTAATATAGGGGCTGTATTATTACCTATTATATTATGTTGGGGTTTCAACCAGTACTATAGGGGTCGTAATCATTCATTACCTAGATTTGTTTGGTGGTTTCCTCCTGGTTATTCTTGTGTAATATACCCCAAAACCCTATTCCAATTATCAAGGCCTCTATATTAGCGGCAGGGGGGGTGGGGGGGTTAGGGTTTAGTGCTGAGGTAATATTAGGGTCTAGGGGGGTCGCAGGGTGCGGGTTTCAGGGCGTCGGGTACAAACATTTTTGGGTCAAGGGTGGGCGATAGACGTTGCATTGGCTCTACAGATTTGTCTTCGGTTTCTGTGGCTGTCGACGGTCATTAGGACGACGATCGATGGTCTCAGGGAGATTGGCAGTGCCATTCCGTGAGGTCGCGGAGAGAGTTGGGACCCCTATGATGATGGTGATGATAATGACGGTGACGACGAAGATGATGATGCTGAGGGTGATGACGAGGATGATGGTGATGACTAGTACTCGTGTATTAATGTAAAATATGTTAAAATTTGTTCTTCTTATAGACCACGAAGAACCACTCTTAGACCAGGTGTCCTCTCGCTCGGTATCACATCCCCGGAAAAGCGCCCGTTGCCGTTTTGCACCGGTGTTGCTACGTCCAGTTTCTTATGCTTGCTTGCGGCCTATAAGCCCTAAGCGGTAAACCCAGAAACCCTGACCCTCAAAACTTGATTAGTAGTGGAAGGCTTGGTGGTGCAGAGAGGAGTCAGTGGGTATTTGCTAAAACGTCGTGCCAAATGGGTGTAGAATGCATTCCGACTAACTGACAGGGCAGGAGGAAAAGAGGGTTCAACAACAAAATGATTAGTACTCCTTCGGGTTCGTTATTGTTCATGTACTATAGCATACACCCTAAACCTGAGGATTTTCAACCCTAAGCCCTAAACCCTAACCCGACACCATCGAAGCCCGCGGATCGTTGCCACCCCCAGGTCCTTCGCAGAGAAGTTGACGAAGATCGTCGGAGACAAGAGGTGCCCCTTCGGGATTAGGATTCGAAGAAGGGGTTTAGGGCGTTGGGAGTGCCTTCTT